CGCTGGTGACGGAGGAAGTTGGGGAGGATGGAGAAGAAGGGGCGCTGGACATGCTGAGACCGAAGAGAGGATTGTCGTCCATGTGATCGATGGCAACAGAGGAGGAAGGTAGCGGAGATGAGAAGCGGAGGCAAACGGCGGTGATCGCCGGAGGCGGTTAGCGTGGAGCGCTGGAGCAGGATCAGCCCGCGCTAGTTGATACCATGTAGAGAAGTAACAGGAGCCAACGCCTTGTATTGATCTCAATTGAATGTATATATAGTACAACAAATGGAGGTTGCTATCTTCAGCAACCGTCCTAGTCTATGCACGATGTGTGCTACTGGTGAGCGCGGTCACCACGCGCTGGTCCTGGCGGTTCCTGAGTCAAGCTCATGCACTCTATCCTCAACAGGTAGAAAGGCGCAAATCACAGGACAGCTATTTACAGCATCTCTTCTGTAATATGTCCCTGTACAAAATTTCCAGTCGGATTGCGTGCGACATGGATAGTGCTTCTCTTTCTACTGCCTAATCCTCTACTCTACTACCACCAGTCTACTACTGCAGATAACATTCGGTATTACTACATCGTTACTAAACTCATCACATACCACTACAGCAACGCACTTTACACAAAAGGTCTCAACAGTATCAGAACTGGTTTACTCGTCAGACTACTACCGTCAGGCATTGAGTTACACAAAAGGTGCAAAAGAATTGTCACTTAACTTCAGGTACCATTAGTGTCTCATCCAGAAATTGGTCCAGCGGCCATGAGCGCGCCACTACAGGATATGCAGAGAAATAATGGTGGTACCGGAGCACCATCTGCAATGCCGACACAGCGTGTGTGGTACCAGACATTGCATGCATCGCATGCCACCATGCGCTCCCCATCGTCGTCCTGTGCACCACAAACACACTGCACCTCCCACGCATCTGCACCTCCCTGGCACCGCAGCCCAGTCTCCATGTCCGCTCCGTGGCCATGCACACCGATGGTGTCACCAGACTCTGCTCCACCAAGCATCACCGGATCCCATTTATCCCCCGCAATGCCATCCAGTGACTCGGCCTGGAAATCCTCAAAGAAGCAGTATGTATCTCGCAATGCATGCTCCGCCTCAACAAGCAGCTCACCTATGGATGTATGCAGGGGTACCACCACGATATCCCCTGGCGGCATTGGCCTTGTAAGTTCAGTAGCCTCCCATGGCTGTGGTCGCCACTCAACAAGGAACCTTAGCTGGTCATCAGACTCATCCCTCAGGCCCCACCATTTCACCCAGTGCTTGCAGTCCAGTACAGCCTGTGCTGCTTCACTGCGTGCCTCCACCATTGCTCGGCACACAGCACGCAGATCCCGCTCCGCCTCTGCTGTGTTTGGCCATCGGACTGCAGGAGGGCTGTGCTCTGCATCAACTTCCACTGGCTCAAGCTCATGATCTGCCTGCGGCTGTGGCTCAGGCTCAGCATATTCCTCAAGGCTGAAGTGAAGCACACGATTCTCAGGGTCAGGCACGCGGCGCACAATGTGGTTACCAACAACAGTGCCATTGAGGGACTTGATGACGAAGTCCAGGAGACCAGTGTCACCGATGGCACCCCTGGCAGCATCTCGCACTGCCTGCCGTGTTATCCTCGTGCCATCGGCATGCTCCCGCAGCTTTTCAACAACAACCTCTGCAGCACTAAGCAGACGCTTCTTTGACCACCGACACTCAAGCAGGTCAACTACGTCCTCAAAGCGTTGGCATGGCTGCCTGAGCCTCTTCACCATACATGACTTTGGCAGCAAGAACATCAGCCGTGGGGATGTCTTCACGGGAGGAGGAGAACGCGGGGCCTCAAGGTGCTTCCAATCAAGGAGGCAGAGGAGGAACTCACGGACTGTAGCCAGAGGTTTGTTGGAGAGGCGGCGGTAGATGGTGACCACACGACGGACATGACGACTACGGAGACAATCAACAGGCAGGGTAGCAAGGGCTACAAGTGCAGCAGCATAAGTGGACCTAGACACGCTGAAACAACCCTTGGCAAGGCAGTACCCCCAGCGAGTGAACCATGTCTTGCCTTGTGCCACTCCAAGCAGGAGGCGGAGGTCCACAGAGTGCTTCTGGATCAAGTCGACAACAGAGACGGCTCTGCACAGAAACCTTCCAAAGCTCAGAAGATAGAAACAAGGTGGGTTATCTTTCTTGAGTTTACAGCCTTCATAAAGTTACCAAAGTTCAGAATTTGCTGGTGTACTTCAAAGCACAACTAGCTAACAGGTACTTAACTGAAGAGTATTTCTGAACAGGGAAGAAAGAGTATATTGTTGTTACCTTACACGGAGAGCTGCACAAAGCTGATCCCATATATCCATGATCTGGCAGCCAGAGAGGAAAATGGAGCCACCATCACGACCATGGAGAGTGACAAGGTGACCAAAGCCATTACTATGGATCAGACCATGTAGGAGGTGATCGGTGTGCCCAAGCAACGCATCAGCCCTGATTGGCTGGTCCCACTCGACCACTGCCGGAATGATGAAATGGTACTTCCGCTTTGACACCCAGTGATGGCTCCAACCTGAAATTGCGGTCCAGATCATGCACTTATTTCGACCATTGCTGAGTTGGCATTTACAGAACTAGGATGTGAATCAATGCACGAAACATCTTTTCCAGAAGAAGAAAGAAACTTTTTAAGAGGATAGGGGCCACCGTTATAACCGCACTGGTATTTTCGGAAGTGATTTAAATTTTTTTGAAACAAGCAACATGGAGTAGTCAATTCCTGGCAATGTGCACAGGAAAATAACGGGTCATAAGTGCAAGAATGTTGAACAGAAATGCAATTCCTATTATTCACCCAACGTTGTATGTAATCAGAATTAGGAGTAGTTTATCGCTCATTCAGCGCATTTCTCAACAGGTAGGAACGATAATTGCAAGTAATTATTACTGAAAAATATCCCCCAAGAATCTTCCCTACGGTAACGAAGCCCAAATCACACAGAGACAGAGCATTTGTAACAACAGTTCTACTAATCCACACATCCAAATCAGCAAAAGTCGGGAATAACTCACGACTAAAACCTAATCAGCGCATCCATCAAACATTCAAAACCCCACGAACGAAAGAAGCGCGTGCTGCGCCCAAATACGCGATGAAGGCCCCGGAAAGCGAAGCCAACTCACCGGCGCAGCGACAGAGATCGCAGAGCGGCGAGGGCGACGCCGCGGCGAGCTCCTCCACGGCGACGATGGGGACTAAGGTGCCCGTGCGCTCGTCCGAGAGCAGCGCGCGCCACGCCGACCCGGAACCCGGTGCGCAGCTCCACTGCTTCAGGAGCCACCGCACGTTGTCCCGGAACGCGCCGCCGAGCGCGGCCGCGTCCCCGCCCGGGAAGTCCCGCAGCGGGTACACGCGCGTCCCCGATCCGCCCCTCGGCCCAGCCGCCGACAAGGCGGCGGAGTGCTTGAAGAGCGCGGAGGCCGAGGAGGAAGACGACGAGGTGGAGGATGAGGGCGGCAGCCACGGGCTCGCCTCCTCCTCCTTCGCGGCCGCCGCCGCCTGCGAGCTCTGTCGTGGCGGCGGCGACCGTCGCGGGTCGAACTGCCGGAGCGCGCGCGTGGACGGCATTGCCCAGAGCGGTCGTTTCCTGCTACGGGCGCTGGAGTTTTGGTTCGCGGCGGCAGGGGCCTTCCCGTAATTTGTGGCGTGCGAGTGACGGTGCGAGCGGTGCCGCAGCCGCACGCCGAGCTCCACGACCCAAATGCTCGCGCCGCTGACGCGCCGGCCCCACGACGGTCGCTTTCCACGCGTTCGCCCGTGACCTCGCGGAGCAAGCCGTGCCCTCCGCTGCCCCCGAGGCTATGCTCCAATGACATGTAGGACCTACCTGGCTGGGGACGGGCCTGTGGTCACGGGTCCCGCAGGTCAACGGCTAAACAACAGTGGCGTGGTCGCCGACGTGTGGGAAATATATTTTTGTGAGGACAGGCAGGTGATAGCTGATGGGGATAGGAAGAGGGGCCCGTTACGTTGGCCCCGCGATCGAGACGCAGCGGGAGCGAGGTCAAATTTTTTGGGATGACGTGGCTCTATTAGGCTTCCGGGCCAGTGTTCAGATGCATCGTAGTACCTGACCGGTTTGTCTGACACTGGCGGTTGGGAGGGACGGATGCAGTCGAAGGGCTCCCTCAATCCAGGTGTGTTTGTTCGAAGAATAAGGTCGTTTATTTTCTTCTCATTTCTCAAATTTTTATTTAGTTGAATGAGTTGATTTATTACTATCTGATTTCGCATAACCTATAATTAGGTTGATTTCACTAAAATTTATGGGATCAATTCGTGATACACCACTCATGAAGCATAAGGTGATTTCAACCAATCAAACACACCATAAATGATATTTGATTATTAATTAAAGTATTAACTAAGCAAAATGGTAATTGCCATGTTCGCTTAACTGATAAGCCATGGCTGAAAGTACGGTTGGATGATTTGTTGTGAGAAAAAAATATTGTTCGTTGGCTGAAAAAGTACGGCTTATAAGCCAAGTGAACAGGGCGAATGTGATATTGAAAGAGTAAATTGCACGGCCGGTCCTTAAAGTATTGGGTTGATTTCGTCTGGGTCCCCAAACTATGAAATCACACTCTTGACTCCCCAATCTACTTAATTCGGTCCATGTATGTCCTAAAACAGCCCAGCAAAGTGTCAAGCAGTCGGCGTGGCCCACGACGCACGTGAGGCTTCGCCCGTCGCGATGCACTCTCGCTTCGCCGCGCGCAAGACCGCCCGCCCCATCGCTACGCGCTCGCATGGGCTCGCCCGCTTCGCCCAAGATCTTGTTGCTTTGCCAGACGCCTTCACGCTCACATGCGCCTTTTTCTTCTTCAAGCGGTGGCGCGCCAGTAGCCTCTTCTCGCTATGGCATGGCCCCAGTGGCCGTGCCCTCTGTGGACGGATCTGAAGGCAAAGAATGGCCCCTCGGCTGGCCGGATCTGATGGGTCCTCGCGTGGCTATGGCGGAGCGGCCCCTCGCGCAGCCCAGCGCGGCGAGCCCCAGCGGCGTCCCCTGCGCGAGCACAGGTGAGGCCATGTTGCGGCGCGTGTGCGGGCGTCCGTCGAGTCGTCCTCGCTCTCCGTGGTGCTGGTGGGCGCACGTCGCCGCGGCCACGCACGGCGCCGACTGCGTGGAGCATCACATGCACAGCTTGCTCTGGAGCGTCGTCGTGGTGCTGGAGGCCATCGAGCTTGTCTCAGAGGTCACGGGGTCCGACCCGGACGAGCTCGCTCGGCGGCGGCTGCTGTTCGCCAAGGACTACGACCTCCTGACCGCGCCGCACGAGAAGGTGCACCCGGCGTCCGTGCTCCTGCAGGGCGACTTCCACGTCCGGAGAAGGCTGGTGGGCAACCTCAAGGAGGTGCAGTGCATGGGGGAGGCCTTCGCGGTGAAGCACTTCGTCGGCGCCGACGCCGTGGGCGCCGAGGCCACGCTGCTCACCTCCGTGGCCAGCCCCGGCCGGATCTTTGAAAGCCTTCCCGTCGCCGCCGTCGTCGTCGGCGTGATTTGCAGATCGCGCGCGGGCCTCTCCGGTCGCGCACCGGCTTCCCGACCTCCCGGTCTGCGCATCGACAGCGATGGCGCGTGACAGAGCACCGGTGCCATCCGGAGGCGATGGGTACGCTACGCGTCGCGTCGGTGGCGCTTATCGTCAAGAGGGTGTTGTAGGCGACGGAGGAGAGATGTGGGCGGTGTGCGGACGCCGGTCGCGCGCGGGTAGAAGTCGTCGAGGCGCGCGACGACGGCGGTCTATCGTGGCGTTGTAGAGCATGTCGGTGTTGTGGCACATGCGGAGATGCATCCGTTGTCGGGAAGTTTGCGCGCCACCGAGGCCTCGAGCGCTTGTGGTGGTATGCGTGGTGGCGAGCGCGACGCCGCTTTGCCGGCGCCGAAGCGTCTCGATGATGTTTCGCGACGTCCACCTTGACGCCCGCCCACGCCCGCAGAGGCGAGGTACGAAGTGCGACTTGTCGTGAGATGCCGAGCACCTCGCGGCGGGTGCACCGGCCCACCCCAAAGACGGAGAGCGAGTCCATGACGATGTCCGGTGGTTGCCCATCACCCCCGACGACGCCTGACCGGGTATGCGGCGCTCTCTCGTAGTGCTCCATCCTTCCGCCGCCGGCTTCACGCCGCCCGGTATCCCGCCATGGCGTGCCACACGCACGTACACGCACTTCACGCCGTGATCCCGCCGCCTCCTCCACCGGCAGCTTCACCTCGGCACTGGGGCTCTTGCCTCGCCGCCCGTCCCTTGTCGTCATCGGTCGTCTTCTTCTCCTTCTTCCGGAACTTGGCGTTCTCCTTGATCCCCGTCACCGGCTGGCAAACCTGCATGACGACAAGCACCATTGGAGAGTGGAGACCAAATTGAGCTTCGCTTGTTCACCGGAGCGAGCCGGCACACAATAAGATGAAGACGGCAATCCACGCGTCTGCGCGCCCTTCCCGGGACGACGGCGTTGTTGGACTCCTCCTTGTTCTCGCCGCCGATCTGCCGCCACCCGTCGTCGATGATCGGGAACCGCGGCGGCGTGCCGCCCTCCGCCTAAGCTGCATCCGTTGTTGGCGCGCGAGGGCCGTTGGCGCTTCTTTGCATCCGTCCGCGTGAGGGGCCGCGGTGCCATGCCATGTCAGAAAGTAAGAAGTCATGCGGCGCTTTCGCCGTTCTGAAGAAGAAAAAAGGCGCATGTGAGCGAAGCGTGGTGATGCGCAGCGTCAGACGTCTGGCGCTTATCTTGGTGGCGGCGGCGAAGCAGGATTGAGCCCATGCGAAGTGAAGCGCAGCAGCGGCTTATGGGGCGAAATGGCGGGCTGTCTTGGCGAGCGGAGTCAAAGTGATGCGGCGGCGAAGCCTCGCGTGCGTACGTGGACAGCCACGTCGACTGCTTGACACCGCCTGGGCTGTTTATGACCTACATGGACCGAATTAAGTAGATTGGGGAGCCAAGAGTGTTATTTCATAGTTTGAGACCCAGACGAAATCAGCACAATACTTTAAAGACCGGCCGTGCAATTTACTCATATTGAAATTAGAGAAGATAGATGAGGAAATAGTTTCTTATAGAAAAAAACTATATCTACATGAACACCAAGGTACGAAGAGATGCGATGAGTAAGATAATAAGAGCAAGTATAGTAAATGGTTGTACTAAATGCTCACGAACAAAAAAAAACTTTGTGAGAGAAAGACTATAGGTGAGCTAACTACTATATGAGTGGACCGATAGATTAGCAGTAAGTTTTTATATTGCCAGCAAGAGAATGTTTTATTACCCTTATACTCTAAAGAGAAGAGACATATGGATAAAAGTTATTTTAAACTAGCCATTGAAAATATATTTAGATGTGTAGTGTCTGTATAATTTAAAAAACGTAGAAACTAGACATAATTTCTAGCATGGAGACCGCTTTACTACTGATACTCTTAAAATTAGGAGAACGAACCTTTGCAAAAGAAATTACGAGATTGGCATTTGATGGACTGCTTAACTAGAGCTTCGAGGAAGTTTGACATGAAGAAGTGCGAGGCGTTCCAGTTCCGGATATAGTCTTAAAGGATAGCCGTTGAAGGCATTATTTGCCGTGAAAATATAAGATAGCTCTGGTTTCTAATTTTCTAATCTCTTCATTGCAAATTATAATTTTTTTTGATTGTTTAGATATATAATTTTTATATATTATGTACTTAGATATACACTATATTTATATACATAGTGTATCACTGCCGGATTTAGCTTCAGCAGTGCATAATCGGCGGTGATGGAGAATTGTTTATAATAAATAGAATATACTGAATTATGAAAAATCAAATATTACTAAGTCATGGTATTTACTACAGCTTGAAATTAGACCATAAGGAAATTTCTATACACACCGGGACGTCGGCTGGTGACGGACGTCGAGTAGGGCAAGCGATCCCAACACTTTGCCCTGTTGTATCCACGGCGGCAAAATCTATTGTCGTATAGTCCTTTGTATGTAATTGTAGCTCAGGGTGGGCATAATTAACCGAAAACGAGAAACTGAAACGAAAGAACCGGAACCGAAACCGAAAGAACCAGAACCGAAAAAATCGGTTCCTTATTCGGTTCCAAATTTTGAGGAACCGAAATAACCGAGAAAATTTCGGTTCCTACTCTCGGATAACCGAATTAACCGAAAGAACCTAAATTCATGAATTTTACTTCACTTACTATTATTTTGTAAGACAATGTTTAATTTTTATGTGACGTCTCATACTGAATTGCTTTGTATTTGTGTTACTATATTGCTATTGTTCTCTTATCAATTATTATTATCTAAATTAGAGGTGGTGTTGCCTAAATTTGCTTTAAAATCTGCATATTTTTTGTTGTATTAACCTTTGTTGAAAAAATTCGGTTAGAACCAGAACTGAACCGAAATAACCGAGAATTGAAATGCTCGGCTCCTATTTTTTTAGAACCGATCGGTTCCTATTTTCTAGAAACCGAATTTCATCCATAACTGAGGGAACCGAAACCGAAACCGAACCGAGAACCGAACGCCCACCCTGCTAGGCTCTAGCTCTAGCTTGTCGACTCTCATGGTTGGTCCTACATGCTATTGTCTTGCCAGCGGACGTGGAATCGTCGAATCTTGTCGTGTACAATTTTCTTCTCCTTAATGAAATACGGGTATATACCCGATCGCGAAAAAATATACACTAGGACTATAATATCATATCGGGGAGGAAGGTCCAAATTAGCAATTGATAAAAAAGAAAGGACATGGGCTCGGCGTAAGTAGAAAAACAAAAGTTATCTGTTTTAGTTCTATCATCAACTATGGGTTCAAATCATGTTTTTCCCCGGATGTTTCTTGTCTTTCCTGCATACTAAGGAGAAGAGGATCGAGTCAAATGAAAAAGCTTTTTTGGAGTTTTATCAATAATTTGCTTGTGTAGGTGGGACCTGGTATTTACTTCAAAGTGGTAAAAACCTAGAAAATGTGTGTTGTTTATATTCAAACTCAAGACCTCAAATGTTTCTTAAGCACCCATACCAGCTGAGATACACAACATATGTGTCCATACAGCTGGTGTTATTCTTTAACTGCACAAAATTGAATCTTATTTTGTATATTTCACACTTCAAACAATCTCAAATAAAGAAGTTGTTAAATGCAAAGTTATAGATTTCGTCGAGTATTGCAACTCTGACGATGACATTGTCTCCATTTAACATTGTTAATCATCTCAAATCTGATTCAAGAGCTTATATTAAATATTTAGACTTGTAAATCATCTCAAATTAAAAAGTTGTTAACTACAAAGTTGCAAATCTCTTTAAACTCTACAATTTTGATATAAATCCTATCGTCACCTAATCTAATATGAAAAGGTCATGTTTTTTTTTGCAAAACAGCCTATCATTGGCGGTTCAAGTGTAGCTTCATCCGGCAGTGATAGGTTGTGTGTCTGTCATTACCGATTGAAATCATGAACCGACGGTGACATGTGAACTATCACTATTGGTTGAAACTATAGACCGACGGTAATACTCTATCACTGCTGGGTCCAAAGAAACCAACAGCGATTACCAATTATGGTGTAGTGAGAGTCAGAATAACTTAAAGGAATAGTTCTCTTTTTTGCAAGGAAAAGAGTGTTGCTGATTCCGATTAATTAAATTCTTTAGGTACATATTGATCTATAGTAGATGGCCAAAAAAACATTTAGTCTCGGTTCCAAATTGCAAAACGAGACTAAAGGATATATGGGACCTTTAGTCACGGTTTATAATACAGACTGAGACTAATTCCACCCTTTAGTCCCGGTTTGTAATGGTTATCGAGACGTGTCAGCGCCAGAAGCTTTAGTCCTGGTTTGAAACACGAACCCGGATAAAAAGTATGACTTTTAGTCTCGGTTTGAGACACGAATCCGAACTAAAGGTATCTTTAGTCCCGGATTGTGTCTCAAACCCAGACTAAAGGTGCCTCCAGAGTGAATTTAAAAGGACAACGTATCTTATCTAAGTCAGATGTGTAGTGGGATTTGAGATGGCAACGCGCGCAAGAGCTGGACTGGGAGATCTTAAGTTCGAATCTCCATAGCCGCACCTTTTTTTAACCCAAAATCAAGACATTTAGTCCCGATTGCATAGTCTCGGACCGGGACTAATACGTGTCACAAATTTTACTGATTAACTTATGAAGAGAATGAACGTATAGCTAGGACGGAGGACGCGTCATCGGACTGTCTCCAACAATGAGAACCTAAATACAACACACATTATCTGATTTGGGTCATGCACAGGAAAAAAGATCCTCACCCAGAATTTAGCTTCTCCAACAGACAACCCAAATCACTCCCCCATCTACAGTACACCGCTCAAAATATCTCCTCTCCTCTCCTCTCTCCCCTCATCACTTCTCTTCCCCTCCCTCCCTCTTCCTCCCAATCTCCCGAAACGGACAGGGCGGCGGCACGAGCGCACCTCGGCGGTGCCCGGACCTCGGCGCGGCGACGGCCGCCCTCGCGGGTGGCACGTCGGTGGCCCCCTCCCCCTCCGCCTCCTTCCTCCCTCTCTCTCTGCTCTCGACCTCCTCTCTCTCTCTCTCTCT